GATATTTATATTCTTATACTTTCTTTCTCCTTTCCTATATTAGAATTGTACATGAAAAGAACAATTTTGCTGAAAGATCGAAAATTTTGCTGGATACAGATTAGAAAATAATTTTGTTAGTGAAATTGATTGAAATTGATTGTTGAAATATTAAAATTTTTTTCAAGCATTACTCATTATTTTTTTAGTTTCCATTATAACTATTTTTATATTTTTTAATCATTATAACTACTTTAGTCTAACAAAATTATATTCTGTATCTAGCAAAATTTTAGATCTTTCAATAGAATCTTTTTTTTTCATGTACTTTTATTTCATTGTACATAGTCGTAAGGTTGCAGAAATTCGTAGAGATCGTTTGAAATATCGTCTGCGATGCTCTTTTGCGAAGTACGATTACAAGAGAAAATGAAGCAGAATGCTGCACTGAGAGAAAAGTGTTTGACATTTGTAATTATAAATGCATCGTAAAATTACTACAATTAAGAGCTCTTTTTTATAGTTGCAAAAATATAGCTCAGTAGTATGTGTATAAAAAATTAATTGCATAAAATAATTATGATTAAGAACTCCATTTTTTTATAGTTACTATAATATTGATGATTATCTATAAGTTCAATATTTTTGAAAAACAGTACAAAGATTTCTCTCCAAAATGCTTTTTTAAAAATTTTCTTATGATTTTTCTTAACTGAATTATGTGTCATTGAAACTAAACCTAGCTCACAACCAACATTAAAATTCGGTGAAATACCATCGTAGAAGTATTTTGAAGCTCGAAGCTTCTGATCGTTTTTAAATTTAATTCTACAGAATTGAGAAAATAAAATTGTTTGTGATGATTTTTTTACCAAATTTCACCGTTGGTTATTTAGCGATGCAGGTTTAATTTCAATATCGCGTATAATTTAGTTAAGAAAAATCATAAGAAAATTTTTAAAAAAGCATTTTGGAGGTAAATCTTTATATTGTTTTTCAAAAATATTGAATTTTTAAAAAAAAAAACTTTTTATCAAACTGCGCACTATTAAATGTATGTAATGTTAAGAAATACAGCAACACGATATTTATTAAAATACAGAACTGTGAAGACAACATTTTTTTGAAAAGCGGTTAAAAGCACGCTAAAGTATAAGTTTCAAGCTTTAAAATGCTTTTTTATTTTTTCATCTGCTTTTCATCTGATGACCTGAATATTATGCAATTTTAAGTTCTATATCCGGAAACTTTTCGACGACAGTGTACATATAGTTGAAATCGAAAACGACTGTAAATTATAACCGGAGCCATACATTACATATTTTTTAAATATAAAAAACTATGAATATAATTATCATTATTAACATTATAGCAGTGATAACTATAAAAACATGGTGACCTATTGAAAACCTATTATTATTACTACCAATTATTATTTTCTCATGCAATTATAGTGGCAAACACTTTTCTCTCAGTGTGTGCAAATGAAATTTTCTATGTTATCACAGAAGTGACAGTAGGAGCGCATGGAATCGCAGCTACTGCGTAGAAAGACGCGTCTGGCAAAGTAGACGACCGTGCATCGTGCCTCAGGAAGGGGAAAATAAAAAAGGAGGCTATGCACGAGGCGAAGAAGGACTCGCACCATATGTGCGACGCGTCGCGATTCGCGATTTCCCGCTATCATGATCCTCGAAGACTATCCCAAGAGTGCATGGCATTTGCGAATCTCCACCACGCGTCTTTCCCGCTGGATTATGTTGATGGTATCATGCGCGAACATAATCGCCAACCGTGCGACAAAAAGTCGACGTCGACGTCGACGAAGACGAAGACAACGGGGAGGCATGTTGTAATTAAACAAGGTATCGTATTCCCGAAGATCGAGCACCCAGCAAACGAGAATGGATTGAAATGAATTGAAATGGATTCAGATTTTCAGAAATGTTGATTCACGAATGTTAAAATCAATGTCTTTCAATCTAAAAATAATATTAGCTTTTTCTGTGCATTGTGAACACTGTTCAATTCAAAATTTTGAATAGGAAATGCAGTTTTTCAATCCAATTGCATCCAATTGCATCCAATTGAATCTAATTGAATCCAATTAAATCCAAAAAAAAGTATTCGCTATTTAAAATATGCATTCGGATAGAAAAAAATTTCAATCCATTTTAATCCATTCTCATTTGCCGGGTAGTAGCAAAAAAAATGGCGTCCGCGCGTTTCAGTCCTAAATGCTGACATTAACATAATGTTCAATGATTTGATTATATTTTTTCAATTTTTTATTTGATATTTTACATATCGTAATGCACAACTTAAAAAAAATTATTATTAAGGACCAATTAACATTTAAGACCAATTAACATTTAGGACTGATTAGCACATTTAGAATCTAATTGATCACGCCGCTATATAACATCTCGTCTAATTCCATTATGTCATCGAGGGGCGAGTGCGAAATCTGAAATCGAGAGGAAAACAAGGCTCATATGTATGTTGTGCATCCAGCCGCAACGAAAACAAAGCGAGAGAAGATCGCTGACGAAGAGATATCGTAGACGAGACAACCCCGTAACCGCTAACATTGTGCTTGCATACCGCCGCGTGCGATCGATCATGCCAGTCTGCACAGTGTTTTCTTCAAGCTGCATTTAAGATGTGATCACAGTTTTCACATTGTGAGAAAAGCGCGAGAGGACGACCGGCCTGATGGTAGATTGCACGCGCGAATTGCCAACGCGGTTTTACGCAGTTCGAATCAAAAAGTTCGAAGATTCCGAGCTCAATCTTGAGGAGTTCCATTCGCAACCACAAGCAAACTGAGGCTGTGTTCCAATTAGATAGGTGCGATTTTTCGATATATCTCTATAAGCATCGCAATTTTCTTTTTTTGAATCACAATACGTGCGATATATAACTGGCTTTTTAATCGCAAAATCACGCTTTTTCACGTAATATTCTACATTTGTTCTTTAATTCTTTTAAATCATCATCAAATTCAACTAACGAACAACAAAAAACTGATACAATTTTTTATTTTATAAAGGATTTCTTTTTTGAATACGTATTCTGAATTTTATTAAAGATTTTTCAATGCTGGTAACTGAAAATCAATTAGTTTTCATCAATTATAATAGTAACTCAAATTTAAAACAGTAGTAAATTAAACGTAATGAACGCGTGTATTAAAATTAATAAATATAATAATTATAGAAATTAATTTACGCATTAATAAAGTGTAAGAGGTCTGAAAATTAATTTACATGTTAATGAAATGTAAGAAACGTAAACGTATTAAAGCGTTAATGCATAGGCTTAATTAAAATATTATTAATATCCGTAAATGTGAAAGTACATTAAAAAAAATCTTCAGTTATATAGAATTTAAATTTCATTCACCAGTTACATACATTAATAGTTAATGCAATTATTAAATAAAAAAAATTTCAATTTAAAAACAATGTATTGGAACATAACCTAATAAATGTAAAATCCATTGTGTATAGAATCACTGTGAAAAATGAAATTTAATATATTATACTTTTAAGTTATATAATTCGAATTTAATTTTATGACATTACATTATATAAATTTAATGTATATTTATAACTGAAAAGTATATTTGTGTACATGTTATTGTGTACATGTAATATACATAAAATTTAATGTATTTTTCATAAAAATTTATGAAATTTAATGTACACGTTCATTACACGTTTATTAGTAACTACTGCAACTTAATTTTCAGTTAAATTATTCATTACTTTTAATTTCGTTCATTTATATATAAAGAAAGCTCGTGCATGATTACATTTCTAACAGTGATATACACTTAAAAATTTCAGCGTTGTTATTGCCAGCCATTCTTTGTTACATTAAGATTAAATTATTAAACATTCAGTTTTGGTTTTGATGTCCGTTTGGACTATAATTAATATCAAAGTTTTTTCCCTTCTTTTTTCTTTTTCTTTGCGATTAACATTTTAGGTGTATTAAAAGTTATTCATTAATTTCAATAATTGACACTGATTCGCTGAATGGTCAAAGACTGGTTTTTGACTAAACTTAATAGAATTTAAGTGTTTGTGATATGGTGAATTTTTGTTTTAGTGAACTATCTTCTATTATTTTACAATACATCGTTTTGCTACCAACAAATTTACCTTTTAATAATTTTAATACATTTTAGATTGTTAAAGTTCGTTTTTACATTATAGTTTCCGTTAATAGACGGCTCACTGAAATGAATTAATTTGTAAAAAAATTTTTTGTAATTACAATATCATATCTCTGAGGATAACTCAAAAGTGACTTATTATTAAAGTTGTTTTGTTAACCGTTGATTTGCACAAGAATTACCGTGCTTGATTCCTATTGCCCTGTTATATTCAACCATTTTGTAAAAATTTCATTAAATTGAATATATAATATTTTTAAGTTACATAATTTGAACTTAATTTCATAACATTATAACATTAAATTTAATGTATTTTTCATTTATATTTGAATATTTAATATTCATTACATTTAAATAAGTACTGTAACTTAATTTTCAGTTAAATCATTCATTACTTTTAATTTCGTTCATAACCACGAGCTTACATTTACATGTAAAGGAATTGGCGGCAAATTTCTAATGAATGTTTTATTATTAGTTTTGAAGATTTAGGTTTCAATTTCTAGTTGGTCAGAAGAGTTTGAATGACTGCGCATCTAAAGGAATGTTATATCTGGTATTCTTATATCATGGTAAAATATAAATTTCTTAAATTGATTAAAAATGTCTGACAAGTTGAAAAATGATATGTTACACAATGCAACGTATGTATCATGGTCGAATCGCCTTGAAGAGCGTGAAGATGGTCGATCCTATCGACTAAACAACTTATAACTAACGGTGACCATGGCGCCGTGCTCTTGTTTTCAATGATCGGTCACGTCAGTTTTAGCTCGAATTCGCGATCCGCGTTTTCATAGATTCTCAGAAAGATTTAATTGCAAAACTATTCTTAATCATGAATGCTTTTAAACTCGATGATGAAGCATTGAATGACACACACGAGCTCTCATTCAATTTCCCAGCAGAGGATAATAACAGCCAAACTTCTGTATCGTACGTTATTAATACGAATGCATCTCCTGTATCCGAACACAAGGTAAATTTTATTATGAAACCTTTCTTTTTTGATATAATGTTTTAACATAACGTTTCATATTTTTTCTCATGTTTTACACAATACTTGTAACGCCGACTACGCTTTCATATAAATATGAATTTAAAGATTAAAACCTTTTTGTATCTTATTGTTGCTCACGTATTCTGAGAAAAAAATGTGGATGGGGATTTAATACCATATGTAGTGTTTATATAATTCTTGCCATATTGATATAAAATAGCAACATGGTGGATTTAACATCACGATTTAAAGGACATTCATCCAGAACTATCAAACAGATTATGAATTATTTTTATGAATTTCATTTGCAAAATCTATCAACTTTGAGCAAACAGGATTTTGATCAATATTTTACACATTTATACGTATTATAGTGTCACGTACAATTTTTAATAAAAATATTAACAAATAACGCTGGAACAATTGTTGACATGAAGCTTGTCGATAGTAATAACAATTTATGATGACCGTTAAAACTTTCATACTTGAAACAAAACTCAATAAATTTTTTGATAAAAGAACATTAATAAATCTAATCTTTGTTGTAGCCAATTTTAAACATTCTCAATTTTGACAAAATGGTGGACTTCTAAAATTAAAAAATGTAATTTTTCATTTAAAAAATTGTTCAGTTTTTATCATAACAAAATTATAACTTAAAAAAATTCCTACGAAAACTAGATTTATTAATATGTTTCAAGAATTAGGTATTTTGTTTGAGATAAATTGTAAAAATTGAGATGATCACCGCTATTGTTATTATAATGTCAAATAGTTGTGCCGATACTATTTATCAAAATTTTTAATTAAAAATTTTATACATATAACACTCACTAATATACATATAAGATATTGATCAAAATTCTGGTTGAATAAAATTAATAATTTTGCGCAAAAAGAAATATACATCTTGACATTGGTGTTTATATCAACATCAACATGGTGAGCATTATATTTGTCCGTAGCGTTAAATCCAAGTCCATATTTTTTAGAATACAGAATTATTTACTATTCATAAAAAAATAAAAAGAAAACAGTCCATTTGTATTGGCAAACAGATCGTCATGGATTGTCCAACAGAATGTAAGGTTTTAAACGACACTGTGAAGAATCAATTTGAAGTAAAAGAATGTGAAAATTTATGCGGAAGTGAAAAAACAGAAGCATCAAACAATATCGATGAATATGATCAAATATTCGATTTGGATCACGAAAATCCGTCTTATTTTAATTCTAGTATAAACGATTGTGATGTTTCCATTTACGAATATTTTGATTGCAATGACAAGACAATTCAGGAAGAAGATTCCGAAGATATAGAGAAAACAATTCAAAATCAATTTTTAACGGATGATCAACATACAAATTCTTTGAACAATTTAACAGAATTTCGAGATAGTCTTAATATTGATTCGATGCATGAAAAAATATGTCGAATAAGATATGAGAAAGAAAAATTCATGGATTCAGGAATCTCTACTAATGAACTAATTGCTGAGAATTTTATTAATTCGCAGAATATTCCTAACGATGTCACTTGTAAAATTATTGAAAAAGACACAAAAAATAAAGAGATAAAGCTTGAAGCACAGAATGTTACATGTATAAATATTGAAGATTCTCTTCAAGAAGAATTAGACATGAAAAACTTATCAGTTTCAACAATAGAATCTGGTAACTATTTTATAAGTGATAACGAGAATTATTTTAAAAATGACATCGAGCTCTCGAAATGTATGGAAGAGAACGCGAATCATATGTTAAATATATGTAACGAAAAAGACAGTATCGAAGAAACGATTACAGAGATGAAGAAAATGGATAAAATAATCAAGAATCTTTTATACACTAGTGACGACGAGCATTACGATTCGACGGAGGAACGAATGATAGAAGATTTATCTGCGACGGAGGAACGAATGATAGAAGACTTATCTGCAAAAATGGAAGACGATTGCGATGACGTAATGAAGAAAATTATCGAAAGTTGCTGTCACGCCGCAGATTTTCAGCAACGTTCAACGATATGTGAAATCTCGAGTGCAGATTCCATACAACCAAGTAGCAAACGTGTAATTAAGGAATTTCGAGAAAACGAATTTTTCCCATGTCGTCGCGTCGTTTCCGAGACTGCCATAGCGAAAGAAGATATATTGAGAACTATCGAGGAAGCAGAGAAAATATTAACTGACAATCCATATTGGGAAAAGTCAGAGGCAATTGTTAATCAGATAACTGAAAATTATGACAAAAACAATTCGTCGGAAAAATCTGCGGAAGAAGTAAGAGATGATAAAGAGCATGAAGGAATAAATGAAACAATAAGTCAAAAAGAAATCGATTTTATTGAGACTAAAGATAACAAGATAAATTCAGTAAATACGATTGAAAATATTGCGGCCTCGAAGTCTGATGTTGTTGAAGATAATTTGCAAAAATTAGCTGAAATTACATATTCAGGTCGTCTTAGATCACGCATCGAGATTCGGGAAATTTTGGAGAAGATAGCTGAAGAAAAGAAGAAAATAGAAAATCGTAAGAATGAATCGCTAGAGACACTATCGAAGAAATTCGAGGAAATTGACAAACTCGTTGCTGATCATAATTATACTTTTCTTGGATCTGATAATGATGATTCTTATGAATTAAAAACTCCAGAGAATGTCGTCAATAATTTTGACAGTCTCGACGAGTTTCAGGTTCAGATTGATCCAAAAAATTTCGAAGTTCCTTTAACGAAGCCCGAAATAGCTGAAAAATTGAAAATCGAGGAATTAGAAAAAGAACTGGAGGATGAAATAAAAGAGCACAAGAAACTTATGGATGAATATCAAAAAATTATTGCGACGGATTTAGAGAAGATTCAATTGACTTTGGAGTCGGAATCAATGCAAGCTTACAATGACGCGGATATCGATAAAGAAATAAAAAATAAATCTAAAGACGACGAAAAAATAAGTGAGGAATTTTCAAATGAAATATTAGAAATGACAGATGATACAACGGTGGCTAAAACTGATTCGGAATCCGACGATTTTTTTATGGAAGAGTGGAAGGAACCTGAAAGAACGTACATTAAAGGAAAAGTCTATGACTTTGACGAAAAAAAGCATGGCGTTAGGTAAGCTCTCGAAATAATAATTTAACTCATAATTAACAATTATTAAAATATTATAAAATGTTAATACTTAACCATTTAACTTAACAGTAATAATTATTAATAATAAATGATTTAATAATAAATAATTATTATTAGACATTAATAGTTAACAGTTTAATTTAATAATAATGAGTAATTAAAAGGATATTAATCATTAATATCTTAGATAATAATTATCTAATTTAACAACAGATGATAATTTTAGGATGACGGAAGAACTCATCAGGAAGCACTGCAAGGAGCACAAGTTGTATCAAACCCCGTATTTGAACGACGTTCTGTATTTGCATTACAAAGGCATGCACAATACTCGATCAATCACGTTAATCGTATTTAATATCAATGATGAATGTATCGATGATGAATTTACGTATTTTAGGATTTTCCTTCATCGAGAACCTCGAGAAATACACGGGTCTAAAGTGTTTGTGGCTAGAGAGCAATGGTATATACGAGATTGCCAATTTAGAAAATCAGAGCGAACTTAAGAGCTTATATCTGCACCACAACCTTATCAGCAAAATCGAGAATCTCGACTGCCTGCCGAAGCTCGACACCCTGAATCTCTCGCACAACACGATACGGAGGATCGAGAATCTCGGTGACTCGAGTCGTGAAGCGGGTATTATCCCAGATGACCTTGACCTTGACGTGCCTCTGCTTTTCAGACGGCCTCAAGTTCCTGAACAACCTGAACCTGTCGCACAACTATCTACGAGAAACCGCTGACATCGAGCATCTCCGTCTGCTGCACACGCTCTCGATCTTGGATATCTCTCACAACAGGATCGACACCTGCGACATCGTTGACGTAAGTCGATAACTACGCACGGTGCATGCAATACGCACAACCGGAATATATTTCCGAAATGACAGGTGATGTTACGGCGAAAACGCGAATGGAATATATTTACGTATTAAATAATGTTTGTGGTTGCAAACTGATATTATCTTAACCATTAACTTGAAAAATTCTACTGCAGCTACATTCGTTAACCCTTTACTCGAGTAGGTTTTTTTACAACATAATTATTCGTGTGGGGTATATTTTTCATATCTCAATATTATATCTTTATTTCAATTTTTATTTCTTTGACAATTTACAATAAAATAAAAATTGATAATAAGTCTTCTAGGTAAAAACGGATAAATATAATTGTTTTTAAAAATATATATACACTAAATAACGTGCATTAAGACAGTTAGCGAATTTATAAAAGGAGTTTTGGATATCTCACACTAATAATAAAGAGTTTATTACATTATGAACTAAAAGGTTAATAATAGGCTTTTACCTATTTTTTTTTTCAGAGAGCTAAATTAAAAATATGAATCTACACATATAAAAAATGCTTTACATATATTAATACAAAATGTCTCTATGATGCGTATAATCTCGTCGAGATATCTGATTTGCCGCAAGTGCGAGCAAAAGTTGAACTGTTTAGATTTTGGGAGACATGAAGTCGCTGCGCGTTGTAACGTTGAGTGGCAACCCAGTGCTAAAACAGATAAAGATGTATCGCAAGACGATGATCCTTAAATGCAAGAATCTTCAATATCTAGACGATCGACCGGTGTTCCCACGCGATCGTGCCTGCGCCGAGGCCTGGTAAATTTATCAGCAAGAACACGACATGTGAGAAAGTAATATCTCGTTAGTCTTAAAATATCTCTGAATCGACACACAGGATGCGTGGCGGTATCGACGAGGAGGTGGCCGAGAGGAATCGGTGGTTCCAAGCGGAGCAGAAGAAAATCAACGACAGTGTTATGGGTGAGTTAAAAGATTCGTTACTCGAAGCGAGCCTCGAAATGGCCACCCCTTTGATTCCTCTCACCTGTTCGGTTCCTCTGGTCTCGGTTTTTGTTTACCTGTCGAACGTTGCGTCCGCCCTCGAAAGCCCTGATAAACAAAAGGAAGCTGTGCAAACCGGTCGGGACGTCCGAAAAGGAGGCGACAGATAAGAAGAAGAAGGAGAAGAAGGAAGAGGAGGAGGACGAGGAGGAGGAGGAGGAAGAGGACGAAGAAATCACGACGAAATCAAGCGCGCGCACCGCGACAAGGAGCAGCGGACTGGTAAGAACTAGTTTCGTCAAGGTCTGGTACAGAATTCGTGCTTTGAATAATATCACCACCATCGGTCCCGTCGGCTATTTGATCATTCACCACGTAAAACCCGTACACCTCCCGATCTCCTGCCATCCATGATACCGGCCACGATCAACGCGCTAAAGCTCGACCTGGAGAAGAAGAAAAAATCTGAGGAGCGATCCTTCCTCGGTTCTTATGACTCTCCGTTGTCGTCGTCATCGTCGGAAGACGAACAGCTCGCAAACGAAGAAAACGAACGCTCACGGCAAAAAGGAGGCAAGGAAAGTGACGGAAGGAGGCCAATGGCGGAGCAAGAGAAAAAAGTTTCCGATGAAAACAACGAGGAGCTTCTGCTGCCCTGGAAAGCCAAGGTATGCAATCCTTCTCTTCTTGTAACAAATGGGAATTTAACAAGGGATGTATAAAGAATTGTTCATCTATTCCTCATGGTTAGGTCCGAGAAGAGATCCGATCGCGAACGCTGATCGAAGAAATATCGGAATCTAAACATGACATCGCTGGTGATGCAGAAAGAAAACACGCAGATCAAATTTTGAATAACTATGAAAGTATATACGATTCACTCGGTGATGGTATCGTCAACAGGAAGACTGTCTCTCCTAAGAAAGAAGTATTGGAACTGCAATTAGAAAAAGAAAAGACAGCAGATTTACAAGAATCAATCAGTAACAATAATAAAGCTAACGGTGAGCAGATTATATCTCTCTCTCGGTTCCTTACAACACAACTCAAAATATCATCAAATTTATATTTAATGAGCTAAAATGATTAAATTTAAAGCAAAACGATATTTTCTTCAAACTTTGACCTTCGAAACTAAATCTAAACTCTAAAAATTCTCTGTAGAAGATTTCTTTTTATTACAAAAATAATACAACTTAAAAAATATCTTTTGTACACGATGATAACTTAAAAAACTTAATTATCAAATTATTACAATGAATGAGTTAGGTGAAGATTATATATACTCTAGCAATTATCAAACTTCACAATGTCCGTCAAATAGGACTTACGTATAAAAAGTTTTTTTAAAGCATTCATAAGATCTTCCACAAGAGTTATAAGTTGTGTTGTTTTTGTAAATAAAAAATAGTGTCTTTTATAGGCAATATTAATTTAGAATTAAGACAAGAGTTTCGATGATTGATGACACTCTTTGTATTGTGTCGATTTTGGTTCTACAAAATTATAATAAATCCGGAATATGATTCTCTTTCATTAAATGTGATGTAACTCGAAACATCACAACACAACTTATATTTGCCTTTAGCAATTAAAATTTAGCAATTAAAATTTAAAATAAAAATATTGCGATATTTCGAATTATGTCACTTTTAATTATTCTCCAAATTTGTTATATTTTGTAGGTCATCAAAATTATCAATTCGAAAAGTGGTGGTTTTTTAAGGATTTTGAGAGAAATTAAAATAACAGAAATAACATTCAATCACATTTCTAAGAATATATTCTTTTTATCGATATTATTTGATTAATTAATAATTTTCTGTTAAATTAAAAAATAGTTTTTCCTCTTTTCTAAAAAAATTAATCTTTGAGTTGTGTCACTTTTGAAATAAGAGAACGACATGTTAAAGAATTAATATTTTGACGCCTGTAGAGATACAGTTTAACAAGAAATTATGCGCTTGTAGGATAAGATTGCCGAAATTGCATCACTTTTTGCACTTAAAGGTTCATAACTCAGAAACGAGGAATATTCTTAAGTTTTTTACAGCACAATAAATTGCACTCTTTTCCCTTTCTTATGTAATTTTTTCATGATTTTTTGCATTATTATAATGTTTAAAATGAAGATTTTTTTCAGTATTATGCGATTTTTAGACAACGAAACTAAAAAATTATAAGAAAAGGAAAAAATTGTATTTCATTATGCGTAAAAAACTTAAAAATATATTTTTCATAATTTCTGAAAAAACACATGATAATTTCAAGAAGTAATTTAAGGAGTTTCTGTGTGAAACAAAATAAACACTTCGTTTACATTTTTACATAATAACAAATGGAATAAAAATGTAAGAAATGAAAAAATATTAAGTAATGTGCGATTTAAAAGCTTAGATTGTGGTTTAGGAAATCACATTATGATACGATTTAACTAAAGAATTTTAAAATTTTATTTATTTAACTTATAAAAATATGTAAAGCAAACTTTAATCCTATTAATTTAAATTTAATAATATTCTAATCACGACAAATGATCAGGTTATTTAACTTATATTTTCTATAATTCTGTTATAAAATATGTTGAAATATAGCAACGCCACGATTTTTTTATTTATGTAACAACCCTCCTATTGCGACTCTTTATGTCAATATAATAGCGTTGCAATATCACATGTACTTCTTAAATAACCCGTAAGAAAGTATATAAACGCAATAATTGAATTTTTAAGCGAGATAGTGCGATTTAGGAGCTGGTGCGATTTCGGCAACTTTATCCTAATCGTAGAAAAATGTCATACATTATCTATAATTATTTTTATCTTAATTTATTATTTTATTTCGTTTATTTTTATCTCGAATAAATTTCTACATCATCTATAATTATTCTCATCTTGGTAATTAAAATTGTTTTTTACAGATTGTAAAAGCGAGAGAACGTTTGCCTGTTCAGTATCGTGTGACACATCGGATCTAAAACAGATGTTAGAAGAATACCATAAACCTGCTAATGCAATCACCAACGAGGAAGATATATTGAGTAAAAGTATCAAGAGCTATCAAAGAAAAAACAAAGACTCTCCGTTCGGTTCTAAACTTAGCAGCATCCGAGAAGAAATGAGAGAATTCTGCGACAGTATGGATAGGTTTATTGACGAAAACAAGATAGTGTTCAAGAATGGCGAAGTGGAGGGATTCTGGGGCGAGAAAAAGATGGTGGACCAAAATTTACAAACTGATTTTGTTGATGATAGGAAGACCCAAGAAACTGGAACCAAGGTTTCCGTGAGCGAGGAAGATAAACTACGATGGTGGAGTACCAAGGAAAGAAAACTGAAGGTCAAGGAGATCTTAAAGAAGCGAGAGGACGAAGCAAAGAAAAACAAAGTGGAGGCAGAAGATACCAAAAGAGCTGAAAAATCCGATCGCTCCGATTCGTCGGAAGATAAAAAGCAGCTGACCGATGCTACAAGTTATTTTCAGGATGACTACGATTTGATGATGCTAAAGACTTGCCCGTCAAGTGTCCTTCCGGATTCAATGGAAACATATTCCGTGAAAAACACGGAAAATTATGAAAGCGAGCAACCTGTAAGTATGCAGCAAGAAGAATCGCACGGAGTGTTCCACAGTCTCTTTGCTGAATTGAGAAATCGGGACATTCGGGAGTGCGTACACAAACCGAAAATTTCAACTAAATTAATGGCTCTAGAGGAGAAACTGGATAACGAAAAATTAGCCATTGATACAGAGAAGAAAAATATCTGTACTCTCATCAATACGAAGGATCTTGTTAGTTCTAATGAACAGTATTCGGAACATGAAAATAGTGCAGAGAAGAATAATTCTGTAAAAATTGAGATTTTGGAAGACAAAATTAACGATCTTTCATTCGAATCTCCGGAAAGGAAGAAAAACATCGATGAATCTGACGACGATTCCTTTAAGACGGCATTGTCCGTTCAAGAAGACTCGCAAATTTTGGAAAGCAGTTATGAATTACCAAAAGTTTTAAAATTGACTAACAAGGAAAATAATTTTGACAAAATTATTGATTCAATTCAAAATGAAAATATCGATCTTTCAATGGACAATAATTGGAAGGAAGTAATTTCAAATAAAAATCATAACGACGCGATTTATGAAAATGAGAAAATCAATGACGAATTAGAAAAATCTTCTGATAAAACGGAGATATCAAAAAGCGAGCGAGAATTTTCAACTGAAACAGAACAATCTAATTCTCAAATGGAATCGCTCGTTCGAACGATAGATCGTTTATCTCTAGAAAGAGCGAGTCACTCTTCAAGACTGACGGGCAAAAGAACTCGCGAAGCGGAGGATGTCGAGGTGAGCAATAAGAAATCTTTTCTCATCAAGGAAACGAATCCCGGAAAGAAACTGGAGGAACGCAAATCTCGTAGTCAAATCTCTGAGAGATGCAGACAGCACATGATACAAGAAACGAAGAAATTTGCGAGGAAAGTATCGCCGTTGATCGACAAATGTATAACGCATCTAATAAAAGACGCGGAAAATGCAAACGGGAAATCGCAATGCTATAAATACAATCGGAGGAATCTTAGAGAATACTTGCCATCTGATTACCCTTCAAAAATGAATCTTAGTAAGCCCGCGGGCGATTTTGGAGAACAAAATAATTGCCACGATAAGTATGACAATAAATCTAATGACGTGACAAATACGTATTCTGAAAGACAAGAATTGATGACGGAACAAACGATCAATTCGCAATTCGCTGCGTCAGTTCATCGTTCTGGTAAGATCGGTATATTAATATACATGAAAAGAATAGTTTTGCTGAAATATTAAAAAATTGAGCTAAACATATTTACAAATTTGAAAATAATTTTATTGGACTATCACAATAATTGTGTAGCCCGTGCTGATTGATAAAATATCAAAACTTTTTGCAGCATAAAAATCATAACGACGCGATTTATGAAAATGAGAAAATCCGTGACGAATTAGAAAAATTTTCTGATAAAACGGAGATATCAAAGAGGGAGCGAGATTGTTTATGATTATTTATCGTGCCTGAATTTTCTATATAATTATCTTAATGGTCCAAAAAAATTATTTCCATATCTATATCTACCTAAATTTTTAGCAGAACCGTTTTTTTCGTGTAAAAAGAAGAATATAAAAATTAAAAATTATTTAGAATTACATTTATTTGTTCTAGATATCCAATCATTCGCCAATCTTTTTCGACAATCCCAAAACTCTGAGTCGCAGTCACCAGCAGTAAATGCCAATGTATCACTTTATGAAGAATTTTGCGATCATCTGCATAAATTAGACAACAGCAAGAAATTGCTGATTAAGCCAGATTTCACAATGGACAATAATGAATCAGAAGAAATATCTGATAATAAATTACAGAATACTGAATGTTCGATAAAAAAATCAATTAAATCACTAATCCAAATAGTTTCTGAATGTCCTACGACGTCTAAAAATTCTGAACAAATCTCATCAGAACGAAAAGAAATTAAATTATCGCATGGCTCGCAAACTACTTCCTATTGCAAACAGAAAGATGTTAGTATAATATATAATATTATAATATACAAGGTATTCGGCAACAGGAAAAGATGAAATTTAAGAAAGGATTCTAGATAAGAAAGATAGTTGAAGACTAATAAAATTGTGAATTCAGCTTCGTTTTTTATATAGTCGTTTGAATATTCGTGTAAAAAGCTAATCTAAAGCACATAATTTTTAGACATAAGTATAATAAAAGAACGAAGCGTCCATCGAAATTTTGTTACTCTCGTTTTGATAATTCTGAATGTTTAAATATTCACACATGTAGAAGTGTCTAATACATACGACTGTTTAAATATTTGTAATTATAAAACGGAGCTGAACTCACAATTTTGTGATTCCTTATTTTCATCCTTTATTATCCAGAATCTTTAAATTTTAATCTATCTGTTTGCTGAACCTTATATGTATATAAAATCAAAGCGTTATGTAATATACAAATTATTACACACACACACACACACACACACACACACACACAAATTATTTTTGTGCTTTGGTTCATAAAAAGTTTTGGTTACAATTGATTAAAATGATATTATTAATTTATACATTACCTTCAGGCTGTCCTCAGGAAATCCGAAGAGGAAACTGAGACATCTGATGATTCTGAAAAGCATATTAATGAAGAAAGCGCAGTTAATGTAAAAGAAGGAATAAAAGTCGAAACGTTTACAACATCGTGTACAATAGAAAATACAGAATACAAGGAAGAGTGTGTATTACCAAAAGAAGAAGAACGCAAACCCGTCACGACAAATATGAAAAAGAGTATAGAAATGCAAGTTGCACAGGAGAATTAAAATGGATCATTGTTTTACTACATTATTTTTGGATAAACAATCGCAGTTAATGTACATAACGCACATTAATCGAGAAAAAACTGTAAGACTAGGAATGGACTTTGCTTTCGAGGAAGCAAGTTTTCATGCGATTGAAGACTTTGTTATAGGCGATGTAACGTTCGTTAGTTTAAGTTTAGAGAATATTCAATATTTTTCTTGCTCTTCTATTTGAAATAAATGTGTTACTTTCATAAGACTCATTTTAAATGCGGAAACTTGGAAACTTTATCGAAAGAAACGACAGGTGGTGAAACAGGTCGACCTTCTACTACGTACACTTTATTTTTGTGTCCACACTCACATCAATTATATAATAATAATAATAATAATAATAATAATAATAATAATAATAAGAATGACGATGGCGGTGACGTGTCGATGAATCGTAATTAATAATAGTAATAATAATTAATCCGTAATTATGTGCAATGATAATCGGTCGCACGCAAAAGAAATGGTAATCTCTGTCACGTTTAAATATATTATATCTTTACCGTCACCATCAGCCTCTCTCCATCAGCCATATTGGCTTCCAGACGGATCCTAGATGGATCTCAGATCACTCACTCCTGCAGAAGCTATCACCTTGACACTTGGCAAGAAGCTCTTGATATTATAATATATTTATATAGAGTGATACCGCGTGTAACGAAACTGTCTCCCTTCCTGTCATCCGACTTCTTTCATCTTTATCACTTCCCTCACTCTTCGCGCACTCCATTTCGTATTATTTATGCAGAGGATCTATATCCCTTCCTCTCGAACAAACGTAAGGATTACATACCTGCTAGGATCGTTTATAGGTTTATAAATATGCACGTATATGTATATCACACCTCGCTCTCCTCCGCGAAACAGGCACGCGAAAATCAAATTTGGTATTTCGTTTCTGTTTTTCTTTCTCTTTTTTTCTGCACCTTTCTTCTCTTCTCCTCGCATTCATCCTTATTATTATGTAGTTACTTGTGTTCTCGTGCGCTTCTTTTCTTTCTCGCTCGCATCCTCGCTTGCTCCCTATAATTGTAAGTTATTCTCCAGAACGTGCCAAGTGACGACCAAGAGCGGATCAACGCTTCGAGAATGAGGGAATCCGATCCACGGGAAATGACGATCCACGGTTAGATTATTTCTTTTGTGCGAATGTGATTCTGCGTGATGATTCTTGTCGCCATCCATTGATCAGCGCTTCATCGACACTTGCACGCCTCTTTGGATTTATCTCCTCGTACTATATCGTATCGTTATCGCGATCATATTTATGGTTGTTATCCATCGAGGTTAATGGTTATTTGATGCGTTGCAGTCCTTACACCTTACGACTTATGGTTTACGTTACAGAGAGTATCTTACATGCTAAGTTTCTCTTTCCAAAAATTAGGAAGTCCGCCGTTCTTTCTTTGTTCTTTCTTTTGTCCCTTGTTGTAGGGTTGTCGTCAACTTCATCGTCAAATACGTTCAGTTTCGTCGATACCTATCAAAATTGAACGATGCCTTTGTGAGGAAAAGACGCTTCTCATTATCCGCTTTGTTTCTCAAGAGAGAATATGAAAGAAGCAATTGTCCTCGACACTGTAGCAGACTTAATGCCGGTTACCCTAATTTGCAATCACGAAGTAAAAGCAACGAAACCTCTGTCACACTTCATCTATCGCATTTCCACTCTTTTTTTTATTTTGCAACTTGATTTTTATTACAAGAGATCGTTTAATTATTTTGACACCGAAAAACCGCGTCAGTCTTTTACTCTGATACAATAAAAATAAATCCTCTCTCGTCGTTTCTTCCATCATACTTTTTTCATACTTGTTCCCGGTTCGGACGAAGCTTCGTCGTAACTTAATTAAAAGCGATGTATTTTTATCTCGTAAAAGAGCGCGATTTATAAACGTTTTTCGCTGATAAATTCTGGCAAACTTTGTACTTTAATAATTATTTTATATAAGTAAGGTTGTGATTGTAACGTCGCGTCGCGAAAAATTGGAGATAAAAAGAATAGCAAATAAAGTAATAGTAATTTTACATCAAAAAGACACACGAACGAAATTTTTAGTTAGTTCAAAGATATGTCCGAATATCTCTCTCATTGACGAATGATATTATCTATCTTGTTAAAATATATCTCTGTTTTATCTTAAATGGGATTATATCGTTACGATATTTAGTTATGAGTTAAGAAGCGTGGAAAAGTTAAAACACACAAAAATATACAAGTTCATCAATTCCCCGCTTTTCTCCTTCATGATTGCAGATCGAATGTACCAGACTTTCATAACATTAGATTTACAATAAAATCACGTAAAAATCGTTAGACGATTTAAGGCATGTCTAAAGAAAAATTTACAAAATCATAACGTCTCGCGTTCATTTCTACCTGTAGATTAACATTAATCTCAGTCATAACATTTAATTCACTTTTCGTCTTCTTCTAGTTCTAAGAATTAAAAAAAAAGTTAAAGAGTAAATTAAACTAATTGTAAGATTAAAGTTAATCTACATTGATAGAAATGGGCCTCAGTGATGAAATTCATTAAAAAAATGCCGTTCTCTTATTTCAGAATTTCGAATTGTTAGTAAAATCGCACGTATGTTAATGAGAAACGCTGTGAAGGAATCGAGTTCACGCTACCGTATTAATACATGAAGTAACAAAAAGGTCGTGTCTCAAATTCGCAATTCACTTAAAAGGATTCGCATTTCCGTTTGCACATCCTCTTAGATATATATTTACGTATGTAACTGCATTTAAAAAAATTCGCCGATAACTATAACGACTTAGGATACGACATTGAAGGGTATTATCGAACACTATGCAAACGTGGCCCTCGTGCGCTTCGTCGTCTTCTTGACATGATGATTTCTGGGCTTGCGATGATGATTTCTCTGGGCATATTAATCAAACGCAATAGCAGCTTCTGCTTTTCAGAAAAGCTTTGTAACAGTTGTAACATTCTTTTATATATGATTGGTATCTTAGTGGGTCGAAATAAGTCAATCATATTAAAGAATCTTACAACAAAACTGCTTTTTCTGCAGAACGCAGTCATTAACAATCTTTGTAATCTTTATAACAAAACGCAAATATGTATAATAACTGAATCTTTACTCAATATTTATTCGCGACAAAGTAGGAAAGAAATTTTCTCGCGGATTCCACTTAACTGTAGAAATGAAATGTAGAATATTATGAAAACGCATTTATACCGTTGCACCCATGATCTTAAATTGCACAGAGAAAAACGCGCAAGAGAGAGGACTCGAGCGGTTCTTACGTAATCGTTCACGCACATGCAAATCACGCAGTTTTGCAAAATGAAACATTAAAACAAACACCCTGATGAACCCGTCCGGCGCGATTTTTATTTCGCGTCATTTTAAAAGCCCTGACGGGAGAAACAGATACAATCACGCTCCGAGATGATCCCTAACGATTCCTAATTATATACGCAAATCTGTATCCTTTTAATCATGTTTATCGAATAGACAGACTATATCGCTCAGTTTTCTACGCAATTAGTGATTTATCTGATGACGAATGAATATACATGAACGCGGATAGATGACTATATGCTCGAAAGAATCATATCTAGGCGGTTTCTCTCGCGTAAACTTCATTATTGAATATTGCGGAATGTCATCGGATCATATTATTATGACAAATTTTCTGGCGAAAGTTTAAGTTAATAGACGCGATATCCAAAACCAACATAGCTTGTTACAGCATAAAACTGCAACTGTGTGTGTGTGTGTGCGTGCGTGTGTGTGTGTGTGTGTGTGTAAAAAGATATATTTTTATTTTATTTGCTATCTGAATGATCTATCCAATGACCAATCAAGTGGGCAGATAATGCTTGTGCTTGAAAGAATTTTTTTTATTTCTGCAGAACTATTTCTCGAATAGGCTTCTCTACTGCAGAATATTTGGATGTTACGTTACGACAAAAAGTTTAAATAAAGATGTAATATCGAAAAGTAACACAATTCATTACAACAGAAGAAATATGTAATCAAATGACTCGATATATAGTAGGATAAAGAAAAAATTTTGAAATTCATCCCTGATTCAAATATAATGATATCGCTATAACTCGACGAAATTCGTCTTTCCACGTATTCTCTCAACCGATCCCTTCCGAAACAATTCTTCCTATTATGCGAATGATGATGAATTCTGCGACAGGGACATCCACGTGCTATGCTCAGCACGCATTCCTTACAGATATTTAATTACTTATTTTGAATATTAAAATCTTAAACTGTTGTTCAATGCTTTTAATATTTGAAATAAGCAATTTTTAGTATTAAATTGGATTTCTGTAAGAAATGTCCAAAGTCAGGAATAAGACATGCCTTAATGACATTTTTCACAAGTTTTACATGCCGATTTTGGACGTGCGTGCTGTCTGATAACAATAACGGTCTGATAACTGTGTTGCGATATACACTGCCAGTACTAAAAATCTATAGTACACGTTACATATATTAGATTTTCAATATAGGTATAGTGTATATCGGAATGCGACCAATATCATAAAAAACAAGAGATTTATTTATCAACGAAGAAAATCGAATATTCACACGCTTCGTGGAAATGTCTCTGCGGCGAAGTGACTATAGGCGAATGACCTAGGCTAACCGTCAATAGTGATTAATTATCATTACTTATATATATTTTTATATATATATATATATATATATACGTATATATATTTTTATATATAAAAAAGTGATGAAATCTTTGTAACTATCTATCATTTAACGATAAAGACGTGTCTTGCTTTTCAATTTTAAATTGCTGAGTGAATGTACATTTCCCTTCCAAATAATGTTCACTCGATCTTCATCGATGCACTTTTCACTCCACGTCTTAGTTGTTTTACACGGCCACGTCCTCTTGCGCATTTTCTTTTTTAAACTTTAACAGTGGCTTTCGCGTCATTTAATGTATGTTTTATGTATAATACACGCATTATATCTCGTAATTTATTCTTTTTTTTTTGCATAACTTGAAAGAGGCAGTATTCCCGACAGCTTCTCGTCGTCCATCGTAAAACAAGTCACGAAAGTGTCATCGGCACATTTTTCACGTTTCTTCCCTTTCTTTCCTCCTTTCCCTCTTTTTTTAACTATTGCACATGAACGCGTATACATTAGTGAAGATTATTCTAATAATTGAAATAGGACCCAACGCGTCATAAACTTGTAGATCTCTCGATCTTAGCAGGGTGCTTAACGACATTAACGAATACGTGACGAAAGAAAATAAATAAAATACATAAAGAAAATGTCGGGGTGATAAAACCATGAAAAACACGCGAATATATCACTTACGGAGGGAGGAAACAGAAAGCGAAGAAGCGGTAAAAAAATAACGGAAACGCCACGTTTGATTCTTTTTCCAAATATTTTTATTCTCTTTATATCATTAAAAGCACGAAAAAGAGAGAAAAACAAAAGGCTGATTTTATCAGAGCTGTTTTTTTACGCCGTTACTTTTCCTCCTGCGTCGCAATTATTCTCTACCGTACGTCACATTTTCAAAAAAGAAAAATAAATAGTTCCGCAATTGTATTCGCGCGAACAGCAAGATGTTAAAAAAATTATTTCCGCTTACAGTTTTACTTGCTGGTCCTTTATTTTTCACGCGAATGCCATTAATATGACTAGAGGCTTAATAACTTGTCAATTTTGCGTTATTCGCCGACAGGATTTTTTTTCATATTTGTACCAAAAATAAGAAATCATATCGTTCCAGGCTTCAAAGTACAAAAGGAGAAAATCATCTCTTGAGAAAGCCATGGAATTGCGAAATGCAAAAAGCACAGATCTGTTTCCATTAGTCTGCTCACTAAAGTTTTCTATTCCTTCGTAATTCTCTGCTCTAAAATCATTACTTCTTTCATTTCAAAGTTATGTTGGAAGTACCGAAAAGGGGACGCATCATCCACGTTTCTCGCATTTTTAACGTAACGCCTGATATTTTACATCGAACTTTGGAAGAATTCTTAATAATACAAAGAATCGAAGGAACAAGGATCTTCTCTTTTGAGACAGAGAAAGATCTTTCCCGTTTGATATCTAACAAGTATAAAGCATTACGTAAGCAAGATTAGTTATTTATATATACGTGTAAAAAAAGAACCGATTTTGCGAAATTCGAATATGTTCGAGGTTTGCAATATCTCTCCAAAATCGTCGGAGACTGGTGCTTGCTTGCTTTGTAGCCAGACAAATTACATTTTTTTTTTGGTTCCACTAGGAAAAAATGTTTCGATAGTCGCTTTCCGGAATCCACGCATTTTTCTCTCAATTCTCTCGATTTTGACAACCGACGCATCCCATCATAATTTTTATCGTGATACACAACAACTTTTCATATATACAAATTATATATTTTATTCGTAATTAAAACAAAGGTTCATGGAATTCCTATCGAATTAAAATATTCATTTATATATCATAAATGAAAAGTAAAGCGCATCACGCAATTAACTACATATATATGTGTGTATAGGGTGAATGTACAAAATTCTTAAAAAAAGAAAATAAAAAAGACGCTGCCGGAACGTGGTTGCCGGAAGGCGATTGGACCATGTAATCCTGCAATATTAAGAAAAACCATCGATCTTATGTACTTATATATTAAATATTAATAATTATAAATTACGATCACCGTTAATATTAATAGTATAATCATTATCATTAATATTATTATTTTAATTTTAAATGCATACACAGTTTCAACATTTATTTTTGACAAAAAAGGACAGAACAGGCAGGAGTGAAAAAAAAGGAACGAAAAAAAGATAACAGCGTGGAAAAAAAAGAGGGATCTAGATAGGAGAGATGAAAGTTATAAAAAAAAGCTATCGAAAAAATACAATTACGTACTTACATGTTTACAAAAAAAGGCCGTGATAAACAAAATGTAAATAAGAACAAAGTATTAGAAAGGTAATAATGATAAGGGAAAGAAAATTTCGCGGCCTTTTCTATTAACCTGGGATTCTTTGGGTCGAGAGCACGTGCTTGCCTCGTGCATGAGGATTGATTGGCGTTTAATCGACAGTGGGGAAGAGATACCGCCGAGACGATAGTTAGGGATTAATTCTTCTCTTTCTCGCCGTTGCCGTAATTAGAGATAATTGGACAGGGCGGAGAGAGAAAGTTAAGGTATAGACACTATGAACTAAACGATTACACATTACATTAAACGTACTCGACACTTCACGCTGGCATTCCCGTTGCCATTTTCGTGCAATCTTAACGCAGTCACGATGCAAAAACAGATGAAACTATCTACGCTCTCTCCCTCGAACTTTAGTACATCGCTCTTTTCGTAATCTTCCATAAACGTCAACGTCCAGATGAATCGAATACTTATCAAAGGAGCAACTATGTTCTATAGTTCTGTATTCAACATTCGTCTTGTTTATCCGCGCGTCTCGATTTTTTTTCTTTTTTTTTTTTTTGATCGACAATTGGCCGCGCGCCTTTGGCTCTCATTCTCACGCTCTCACAGCTCTCTCTTTCTCTCTCAATCTCTTGTACAAAGTGTTGAATCGCTTTCATACTCGCAAAAAACGTAGACGCAGAACGGCCTATGGCAGAAATCTATACAAAATAAATAACGATAC